TCATGTTGTGGTTACAACAGATGCTTCCAACATGGGCTGGGGAGCCGTGTCGCGGGCATGCGGCTGCGGGCCTATGGAAAGGTGCCCAGCTGCATTGGCATATCAATCGCCTAGAGCTGTTGGCAGTGTTTCTCGCTCTCCACCGCTTTTTTCCGGTGTTGGAGCAGCAACATAAGCTGGTCAGGACGGACAGTATGGTGGCGGGTTATATACAGTGTATATCAACCGCATGGGTGGTATGCGCTCTCGCTGCATGTCTCAGCTCGCCCGCCGTCTGCTCCTCTCAAGTCATCTGCGGCTGAAATCGCTGTGCGCCATTCACATCCCAGGTATGCTCAACCGTGCAGCCGATGCGTTCTCACGGCAGCAAATTCATTCTGGAGAATGGAGACTCCACCCCGAGTCTGTCCAGCTGATATGGGCGCGATTTGGGGAGGCACAGATCGATCTGTTTGCTTCCCTCTGAGAACGCTCATTGCCAGTTGTTCTTTTCCCTGACCAAGGGCACTCTCGGCATGGATGCACTGGCCCACAGCTGGCCTCGGAGCACACGCAAGTATGCGTTTCCCCCAGTGAGCCTGCTCGCACAGCTATTGCGCATGGTCAGGGAGGACGAGGAGCAGGTTCTGCTACTTGCGCCCCTCTGGCCCAACCAGACCTGGATATCAGAGCTCTCCCTCCTCGCAACGGCCCTCCACTGGCAGATCCCTTTGAGAGAGGACCTACTCTCTCAGGGGACATGGCACCATCTGGCACCCTCGCCCCGATCTCTGGAACCTCCACGTGTGGTCCCTAGACGCGAGGAAGACTTAGGTAACCTACCGTCTGCGGTAGTTGATACCATCAGTCAGGCTAAAGCCCCCTCCACGAGGCGCGCCTACGCCCTGAATTGGAGTCTATTCACTGAATGGTGTGTCTCTCGTAGAGAAGACCCCTGAACTTGACAGATCAGTGTTGTGCTCTCTTTCCTTCAAGAGAAGTTGGAGAGCAGGCTGTCGCCCTCCACTCTCAAGGTTTACGTGGCTGCCATCTCTGTTTATCATGACGCGGTAGCTGGCGGCACCGTGGGAAAGCACAACCTCATCATCCGGTTACTCAGAGGCGCTAGGCGAATTAATCCAACTCGCCCCCCCCTGTCATGCCCTCTTGGGATCTCGTCCTCGTTCTCACGAGCTTGCGTACAGATCCCTTTGAGCCACTCGAATCAGTATCCTTAAGATTTCTGTCCCTGAAGACAGCTCTGCTGGTCGCGTTGGCCTCCATTAAGAGGGTCTGGGACCTGGAGGCATTTTCGGTCAGTGACTCGTGCCTGGAATTCGGGTCGGATTTTTCTCACGTTATCCTGAGACCCCGCCCACGTTATGTGCCCAAGGTTTCTACCACTCCCTTTAGAGACCAGGTAGTAACCCTGCAAGCGCTGCCCCCGGAGGAGGCAGACCCAGCCCTTTCCTTACTCTGTCCAGTTCGCGCTCTGCGCATCTATGTGGACCGTACCCAGTACTTTAGATCATCTGAGCAGCTCTTTGTCTGTTACGGTGGTCGGCAGCAGGGAAGTGCCGTGACCAAACAAAGATTATCCCACTGGATTGTGGAGGCCATTTCATGTGGTTATTTGAGCAGAGGTGAGCCGTGTCCCCCGGGAGTGCGTGAACACTCCACTCGGAGCATTGCATCCTCTTGGGCGCATGCACGCGGCTCCTCTTTAACAGACATCTGTAGAGCTGCGGGCTGGGCAACACCCAACACATTTGCAAGGTTTTACAATCTGCGAGTGGAGCTGGTTTCCTCAAGGGTATTAGGTAACCCTTGGTGATTGAGAAAACAACTCGATGGGGTGTTGTAACACGCTTGCGGTGCCTTTTTTCCCTAACACGAAGAGATGTTCACCTTCCTGTCTGTCAGTAAAGTTCCCCGTTCGGTGAGCCCTGCAGCGGAGGAGTCACTTGCTGGCCCACTACGTTAGGTCTGCCCGCTGGTCAGCCCGCGTTTTGTGTATAGGTGCTGGCTATGTGCGATCCCCACTGGCAATTCCAAATGCCTCTCATCGGAGGCGTTGTTAAGGTGCAGTCATTATGGTGTTTTCCATAGTTCTCCCATACGTGGATTTTCTAGATCAAATCCACCTATAGCACTGGAGTTCCCCAACCGAAGGGGAACGTTCGAGGTTACAGAAGTAACCCTTCGTTCCCCGAGGAGGGGAACGGAAGTGCTATATTCCATCGCCATAATGACTGTCCCTTAGCTGTTAAAAAGTCTCTTCAGCTTAAAAGGATGGTGTTTGCTCGCGCCAGGTATGCTTATATGCTGGGATAATTGGCATAAAGCACACCTGCGCAAGCTTACGCTGCCAATTCATTGCTTTCATTGTCCCGTTCAATACTCCCGCGGCTTCTGAACCGAATCCTCCCATACGTGGGTTTTCTAGATCAAATTCACCTATAGCACTTCCGTTCCCCTCCTGGGGGAATAAAGGGTTACTTCTGTAACCTTGAACGTTTCCTCAGAGTTTCAGCCTTGAAGTAGGAATTTTCAATAATTTAAGATTATAAGATCTTAAACTTACTGGAGGTTAAGGATTAATGAGGTTAAGGATTCCTGGAGGTTAAGGATGCAGGAGAACTGATATTTACACACCAAATTGTGTAGGCACTTGGACACAAACAGAAGAATTATAAACTCAATCCTGAAAGGAACAAGAAAACCAATGTAGGATAAGAATGACATTATCTTATTTGCGACCGTTTTCCAGGAAATTGGCAGCAGAATTCTGGAGCACTTGAAGTCAAGCTACCTGGGATTTAGAGATGTCATACAGTAGAGAATTACAGCAATCCAAGTGTGAAGTTATAAAAGTGTGCATAATTGTCTCAAGAGACTTTTTAGGCAAAAAGTGTTTTATTTTGGAGAGTTAACTTGAGACAACAACCAAAGAAGGATGTTTGTCCAGTGTATGGTGATTGTCGATAAGGACACCGAGATTGTGTACACAATTTGAATTTAAACCTGACAAATTGCCTAAAACAGAAGTATTGATCTCTGTTTTAGCTTTACCTGCCAACACTCCCATTTTCCCCAGGAGTCTCCCGTATTTTACACCCATTTCACAGCCCACCTCCCCGGTCTCCCAGACTTTTATAGACGAATGTTGGCAGGTATGGTTTTAGCAGATTTAGAGGCTACAAATTATAGCTTTAATCTTGGAATAATTTAATTTAAAGTAAATAAGAATAGTTTGAAAGTTTGACCCTAGTTTGAAAGCAGGACAGTAATGTAGGCTGAGCAGAAGGGTTGTTGCTTTTTAGCGGCAGGTATATCTGACAGTTCACTGTTTTATAGTTACACACTACTCACAACTGGGAAGCATTTGATCTTTCTTCTTACCAAACAAAACTGACATATACAACTTATATCTGATTAATGTATAAATATGAACGAGGCCTAAAACTGATCTGAACCATCCATAGAATACATGTGGTTGTTTTTTTTTTTCTGCTGTGCTTGGTGTACATAAAAATGCTACAGGAACTGTACCAATACCTGTGCTGGCCATTTCTACTGCACTGAGCTGCATTTCCTGATGTTTAATAATTTGTAATAAAAATACTTGTATATAGTCACATTCAGATATATCAGATCAGGCACATGTTCATTTCAGACATATCAGATTCAATTGCACATTTCATTGAGGTCTTGGGTGGATTATAACTGATATGTGCTACAAGTGAGATTAAATTTATAGTCGGGTCATTGAACGACACTCTTTGGAAAAATGGTCCTAATCAGACTTTTTCAGCTTGGACATTAAAAATTATTTCCATGTTAATAATAATGTTGTGTTTTAAAGGTATTTATTTTATGAGTTTTAGTTGTATTATCCAAGTTAGTTTTATAAATAATTTATTAATATCTGTTATTTGTAATTGCTATATCGTCTATGGCTACATTTAAATTTCTTGACATATCTTTATAATTTTTTTGATGACCAGCTTAAATGTTCTTTTTAAAAATGAACTGTAGGTGTACTGATTGGGCTAAAAAAATCAATGCATTAATGGATATTATTAATCAATGATGTCTTTTTCAGTTACATACGACCCACATCGACAGGGAAATATCTGGTCTACTTGCCGAACACAAATGACAAATTCAACTTATACCTGATTATTTCTAAAAATTAATGGGCCTAAAACTGAACTAAACATACCAGAATCCATGTGGTTTCACATTGCCAGTAGCAGAAACAGCATCTTAATTTGTTAATCTCATTTCAGACACTGATGAATGAGGATGAAAATGCTAATTGTAAATCTGATGCACATTGTTTAAATACTGAAGCAGGTTGTTATTGCACATGTAAATCTGGCTGTATTTCTAGCAGTGAAAACAAGACATTTTAAGCAGGACAAGGAGTTCAGTGTGTTGGTAGTTTTTCAAGTGCTTCTCAACTGGATTTGACCCATACTTTACATTGAGCAGTAAATCAAACCATGACATTTGAAAAAAAAAGACATTTGAAATCAAAACAGTCATCTATGGCTGTATTTAAATTGCAGCATGTTGATGACCAGCTTACATCTTGTTTTTAAAAGTGACCCATTTCGGATATCTGTAACTGGCAAATCAGTAGATGTATTGATTACAGCGAAAAGTGAAAAAAAAAAAAAAGCACAATACAGAATGGACATCATTTGTCACTGTTTTTCAGTCACATATTAAAAAATACAAATGACATAATCAACCTATATTTGATTTACTTCTAAATATGTTTAGGCCCTAAAACTGATTTGAACCATTCATAGAATCCATGTGGTCCTTGATGTACATATGACAGTTTGTGCTCAGTGAAGGGTTTTTTTTTTTCGGTGAAAAATTTACTTTACTAAATATGAACTTAAATGGCGGTAAATCTGAATTAATACTAAGGCAACTTGATGTGATGTATGTGACTTAATGTATGTGCTACAAAAACAGCATCTGAATCTCTGTTCATCTCTTTACAGACTTTAATGAATGTGTGAATACCAGCATTAATTGTGGTCCAAATGCAGAATGTGTCAATAATCAAGGAGGTTATGCCTGCATATGTAGAACTGGCTACACTCCCAGCAATGGAAAGGAAACATTTCTTGTTGGACAAGGAGTTCAGTGTGTTGGTAAGAGCACATTAGAGTTTAGTTATGTTTGGCAGTTTACTGTGTAACATTGCTTGCGATTTAGCACAATCATTTTCTCTTTACATTTTGTATTATTATCTATCTGTGATTTAAAGACAGAAATAAATGTAATGATCCCAGTTTTTGTGCGAAAAAAAAATAAAAAAATCCTACAGATACCAATACCTGTGCTGGCCATTTCTACTGCACTGAGCTGCATTTCCTGATTTTTAATAATTTGTAATAAAAATACTTGTATATAGTCACATTAACTCTTCAGATTTTAGATACTTAATGTGTTATCTCCATCCTAAAAAATTTAAATTACAATATAGTAACAAAGCTATTTATTTTTTTTATTTATTTATTTAGATGACAAGAGTACATATTTGAAAAATGACAAGTATTTACATTTACATTACACTGTGCAAACTCCTCCATAGCACCATTAAGAAGTCATGAGATGGTGGTTAATGTCTGCATCATTTATTACTTATTTTTCAGATGACTTGCATTGACATGGGGGTTATACACTCTGTCTGTTTACATGGCAGATAAAAGGCACATGTTCATTTCATGTCGGATTCAATTAGACATTTTGCTGAGGTCTTGGTGGGTTATGACTGATATGTGCTACACAGGAGGGGAAATTTATGGTCGAGTCATTGAATAACACTCTCAAGAAAATTGAACCTAAACGGTACCTAAACAGAACCAAACCAGTCTTTTTGGCTTGAACTTTAAAATTATTGTAATATTTTTAATAATAATGTATTGTATTAGTAGGCTATTTTTAATTAGTTTTAATATTCATTCATTCATTTTCTTGTCGGCTTAGTCCTTTTATTAAACCGGGGTGGCCACAGCGGAATGAACCGCCAACTTATCCAGCAAGTTTTTACGCAGCGGATGCCCTTCCAGCCGCAACCTATCTCTGGGAAACATCCACACACACACACACTACGGACAATTTAGCCTACCCAATTCACCTGTACTGCATGTCTTTGGACTGTGGGGGAAACCGGAGCACCCAGAGGAAACCCACACGAAGGCAGGGAGAACATGCAAACTCCACACAGAAACGCCAACTGAGCCGAGGTTCGATCCAGCGACCCAAGGACCTTCTTGCTGTGAGGCGACAGCACTACCTACTGTGCCACTGCCTCACCCTAGTTTAATATTATTATTGAAATTAGTTATATCAATTATCAATTATTTTTCAATACATGCTATCTGTAAATGTTAAATTGCCTATAGTCTATGGCTAAATTTCTTGACATATCTTTAGGATTTCTTTGATGACGAGCTTAAATCTTTTTAAAAGTGAACTGTAGGTGTACTGATTAGACTGAAAAGAAGCTAAAAAACAATGCAATGTGGAATGGATATTATTAATCTTTTTTCAGCTACATGCGACCCACATTGATAGGAAAATATCTGGTCTACTTATCAAACACAAATGACAAATTCAATTAATGCTTTTTTTTTAAATATAGATGGGCATAAAACTGACCTAAACATATCAGAATCCATGCGGTTTCACTTGACCAGCAGCAGAAACAGCATCTGAATCTCTTTTTCTCATTTCAGACATCAATAAATGTGTGGAAGAAATAACTGATTGTGGCTCAAATGCAACATGTGTGAATACTGGAGGAGGTTACTATTGCACATGTAAATCTGGCTTCATTTCCAGCAGCGGAAACAAAATATTTTCAGTAGGACTAGATATTCAGTATGATGGTACAAACCGTTTTTTGTAGTGTTTCTGAAATCGGTTTGTTTCATGACCTAGATTTTACACTAAAAATATAGCAATCTTTGACAATTTACTATTTTTACATGAAAGGTTTATAGATTCAAAATATCTCTTAAAAATATACATTTTTCATTTGATGTACTTTTTTAGCAGCTTTCAATGAATAATACCTCAAAACAGTCATCTATGGTTGCATTTACATTGCAGGTTTTTGAGGACTAGCTTACGTATTGGTTTTAAAAGTGACCTATTTCTGAAATCTGTTATCAGTAGATGTATTGATTACGGCAAAATGAAAGTTAAGAAAACACAATAGGGAATGGACATAATTTGTCACTTTTGTCACATTTTTTCAGTCACACATTGTATAACTCACAAAAAAATGACATATTCCACCTATATCTGATTTATTTTTAAATATAAAGGGAGCCTAAAACTGATGTGAACCATCCATAGAATAAATTTGGTAGTTTTTTCAGCTGTACTTGATAAACATACAGTATGACAGTCTGTGCTTGGTGGGGTATTTTTTCAGGGAGCTTTGTGAAGATTGTACATTACTAAATATAAACTTAAATTGAATTAAATCTGAATTAATATTAAGGCAACTTGATGTGATGTACTCCATGTGACATCTGTGCTGCAGAAACAAATATCTGAATCTCTGTTCATCTCTTTTCAGACCTTGATGAATGTGTAAATGCCAGCAATAATTGTGGTCCAAATGCAGAATGTGCCAATAATCAAGGAGGTTATGTGTGCAGCTGTAGAACTGGCTACACTCCCAACAATGGAAAGAAGACATTTACTGCAGAACAAGGAGTTGAGTGTAATGGTAAGAGCACATTGGAGTATAGATACATTATGTTTGGCAATTTATTATGAAACATTGCTTACAATCTGATAGTTTTCACTCAGAAAGACAGAAATAAATGTAATGATGCCAGTTTTTGTGGAAATAAAAATACTACAAGTACCAATACTTGCATTTCAACCGCTATGGCATTTCCTAATTTTTAATTATTTGCTTTTTCAGTGATGTACAACTTGCATTGACAGAATTACACAATCTGTGTGCTTAAATGGCTGCTAAAAGGCACATACAGTTGAAGTCAGAATTATTAGCCCCCCCCCCCCCCCCCTGTTTATTTTTTTCCCTAATTTTTGTTTAACAAAGAGAATATTTTTTTTAAATACTTTTCTAATTATAATAGTTTTAATAACTCATTTCTAATACCTGATTTATTTTATCTTTGCCATGATGACGGTAAATAATTTTTGACTAGATATTTTTTCCAAGACACTTCTATACAGCTTAAAGTGACATTTAAAGGCTTAACTGGCTTAACGCACTTTTGCAAGTTTTTGTATAACAATGTTCTGTAGATTATCAAAACAAAATATACCTTAAAGGGGCTAACAATTTTGTCCTTAAAATGGTTATTAAAAAATTAAAAACTGTTTTTATTCTAGCCTAAATAAAACAAATAAGATTTTCTCCAGAAAAAAAAAAATATATATATATATATATTATAAGACATACTGTGAAAATTTCCTTGCTCTGTTAAACATCATTTGGGAAAATTTTAAAAAGGAAAAAAAATTCAAAGAGGGGCTAATAATTCTGATTTTAACTGTATTCTTTTCATATTAGAATCGATTTTGGGGGGGTATAACGGATATGTGCTAAACAGGAGGGGAAATTTGTAGTTGGATCACTGAACCACACACTTTGGAAAAATTGTTCTAAACAGTTAGAGTAAGACACTTGAATAGAAAGGTTCTACAGTTTCTTTGATGACCAGCTTAAATCTTCTAATAAATCCTATATCTGCATTTGGCAAATAAATAAATGTACTGATAAGGCTGAAAATAATGTTTCATCAATGGTGCTTTTTCAGTTATGACCCACATTGACATTGAAATATCTGATCTGTCTATTTTCCTAGTGACTGACATTCAATTCAGGTCTGATTTATTTCTAAATATGAAAGGGCCTAGGCAACACGGTGGCGCTTTAGGTAGTGTTGTCACCTCACAGCAAGAAGGTTGCTGGTTCGAGCCTCGGCTAGGTCAGTTGGCATTTCTGTGTGAAGTTTGCATGTTCCCCCCATGTTTGTGTGGGTTTCCTCTGGGTGCTCCGGTTTCCCCCACAGTCCAAAGACATGAGGTACAGGTGAATTGCCTAAGCTAAATTGTCCGTAGTGTATGAGTGTGAATGAGTGTGCATGGATGTTTCCCAGAGATTTGCAGAGAGGTTGCAGCTGGAAGGGCATCTGCTGCATAAAACATGTGCTGTACAAGTTGGCGGTTCATTCCGCTGTGGAGACCCCAGATTAATAAAGAGACTAAGCCAAAGAAAATGAATAAATTAATGAATGGGCCTAAAACTAAACAGAAAATATCAGAGTCCCTGTGGTTGCTGTTCCTTGCTGATTGTGCAGTAAGTCAGTTTGTGCATTAATAGAGAATTTTTCAGTGACTTTTTCTGGTAATTATATTAATCCAGCATTAGGTGGTGAGTGACAAACTATTATGATAGAGTCATTGAATAGTTAATTTAAAATTCGAAAACATATTGAATGGAGTAACATTAGACAAGGTAAAATGTAAGTTACTTAATATGACTCACAACAGTTAAATACCATCTGTCTGCTTACCAGACATTAATTATTTATTCAATCCATATATTATTTATTTCTCTCTATTAATAGGGCCTAAACTCGATCAGAGATTTTAGCCATCTTATTTTTCTATCCTGCATATTATATCTGATTTGTTCTACATGTGGGTAAAACTGTAATTGGGTCACTTAAAACCATGTAATATAAATATGGCCTGTGTTTTTCAGTGACTCTTTCAGCAGGTTATATTAATCCACCAGTAGGTGGCAACAAACAGTTATGAGGGAGTCATTGAATGGTTTATTTAACCATTTTGTTTTAAAACAAGAATGCATTCAGGAAAGACATGCCACGGTTAGAAATGGTAAAACATTCATTCTTCATTGGCTGAGCAAAATAAACAATAAACTAAACTTACAATACAGTGTAAAATGTAAGTTATAAAATATTAGGTAAAATGCCACTTTTGAATGAAGTGAATCTGAATTAATGCTAAAAATTTTGATGTGATACATTTATGGCATCTGTGCTGCAGAAATAGCATCTGAATCTCCATATATCTCATTTCAGACACCAATGAATGTGTGAATACCAGCATTAATTGTGGGGGAAATGCAGAATGTGTCAATAGTCAAGGAGGTTATGCCTGCAAATGTAAATCTGGCTACGTTTCCAGCAGTGGAAAGGAGACATTTACTGTAGGACAAGGAGTTCAGTGTGTTGGTAAGAAACAGTTTTATTTGAATGTTCTTCTCAGCTAAATTTGCTTAATTACCAGAATTGTTTTAATCAAATTATGATATTTCAAAAGTTGTATAACAATCAAGTTTTTGTATAACAATGGTTTGGTCTGTAGACTATCAAAACAAAATATAGCTTATAGGGGCTAATAAGTTTGTCCCTAAAATGGAGTTTAAAAAATTAAAAAAACTATTTTTATTCTAGCCAAAATAAAACAAATAAGACTTTTTCCAGAACAAAAAAAATATTATCAGACATACTGTGAAAATTTCATTGCTCTGTTAAACATAATTTGGGAAATATTTAAAAAATTAAAAAAAATTAAAGAGGGGCTAATAACAATAATCGGACAGTTCAGTGTGATGGTAATTGGTTTGCTTAATTACCAAAAAAATTATCAAATTGTGACATTTTAATAGTTTTGTTAAGTTTAGTGCTTTGTGCCTCTACAGTCCCTCACTAATTAATTAAATGTCAGATTTTTTTGTTTTTTCAGAGTTTAATTATGAGATATTTAAAAAGAAGATCACTGCATTTGAGGTACTGCATGACTAGACTGACTAGACATTTACTAAAATACTGATGTAGAACATTACAGTCATTCAAGATCAACCTGAATACTGATCTCTGCTTTTCTCGGTTGTCTGTGTAGGCTGCTAATCCAGAGCTGGCAGAACTTGTCTTCTTGATGAACAGCAGCTGTGAGGCACTAAAACAGAATAAAATTCAAAATGGAGAAAAGCTTTTAGAGGTGACACTCAGTAAACCAATTTTTATTGCAAAATCACAACAGGCTATGCAAAGATGTGTACTTATTGTCTACAGTATAACTGAATAAACAACAATGTCTGATTTTACCCATTTCTTTATAGGAATTTCTCAGTGCTCTAGACGGTCTGCTTCAGAATAATGATCAGTTGGATAACAAGAAAGCCTCAGCGGTGTTTAGTATTGTGGAAAGCATGCTTAAACTGATAGGACTTATGCTGCCAAGCAGCCAAACCAAGAGGTCAACCACTAGATCTGGTAAAAAAGCAAACCAAACAAAAACACTTCAACAACAAATATCACACTTCATATGCTTCACAGAAACAATTTTTACACTCATAATGTGTTTTTCTTCTTCTTTTTCCTCTTCTTTTTCTTCTTCTTATTTCATTTTCAGATGTGGAGCTGTTGGTTAAGAGGAACAGTACTCCACCTGGAGGTCGTTTCATGGTATCCAGCAATGGCACATGGTTTACTTCCCACTGGGACACAGCAACAGGAAAAGAATACATGGGTATAAATTGTTAATTGAAATTACTGAGTATATTTAAAACTACTGTAAAGTTTAAAAAACAAACTGTGATGTTGGTTTGAAAAAGCCAAACCTGTTTGAAAGTTGTAAATGTGTTCCTGGGGGACAGTTGCTAGGGTGTTGCGAGGCTGTTTCTTAGTAGTTGCCAAAGTGGTCTGGGTTGTGGCTAAGAAGATGCTAGAGTGGTGTTGCTATTCTTTTAGGGTAATATAGGTGGTTGGGGTTTGCTAGACAGGAGCTAGGGCATTTAGTGGGTGTGATTTTGCCAAGTAGAATGCAATCCTGGTTTAACCTTTAAGTTGATCCTGAAACATAATTTCTATTTGAAAATTTAATCCATATCTAATCCCTATCCCAAACCCTAATCCCAACTTTACATATATTCCCAGAATAAGAGGAGATTATCAGTTGTATATGCAATTTAAGTTGTCAAATAAAATACTATTTTCGTGTCACACATTAAAGTTGTTGCCTTTCTTACAAAATCAGGGTGTACAGTACAGTCTCTGAACTTGTATCACATACTAGACCAGTGGTTCCCAAAGTTGGGGTCGGGATCCCCCAACCGGGTTGCTTGGCGATTTCCAAAAAACTAATTTGTTTTATTAAACTATTAGATTTACCGTATTTTATCCATAACAATGCTTGTGCTCACTTTTCTGATGAGTGCTTCTGGAATATACATGCTTACAAAGGGGGGTTCATCGGCCATTTGTTAGAGGAGGGATCAGAAAAGACTATTGATGTATGGGACTTTGTCAGAGCTTGACAGAAACTTTACAGTACACAGTTCATGGATCAGTTCCTTCCTCCGTTTCACAAGTGTAAGTAAGTGCGACTAAAAGTGCCTACTTGTTTTATTATGTATTTTATTGTTTTTGTTACTTGTTACCACATGTACTGTATCTGGTTAACTCTTTATGTTCTCATATCGTGTCTAAAGCCACATTGTACATGCAATGTGCGCCAATTTGTTCACGGATTTAAATGTGTTTGTAAGCTTGCAAAACTCTGCCGTTTGTCATTGCTATGGCCACCATTAGCTGTTCCTACACATGTGCGGCAGTTAAGTTTCAAAATAGTTCAGCTTTTGCCACTGTGTGGATTAATACTGAATGTGTGTTGTTGTTTTTACTTATGATTAGAAATAGAGCAGTATGCTGGTGTTTAACTGCATTGCTTTAATGCTCTCCTACATTGGCCTCACACATATACTCTGCACCCTAACTTCTTCAAAATGTATCAACCGTGGTGGGTATTTCCCTCTGTCTCATGCTGAATGCAGTCGACCAATCACAACAAACTGGGTCATCTGTCCAATCAGCGCAGATTAGCATTGCACTAAGGAGAGGGTTGGGAATAAATGAATCTCTGAACGGATCATATATGGATCATATAGGGTCATTGGTATAATTAAGTAAAAAAAAATGCATATTATAAGGTAATGTAAGTGTTTTTTTTGACCTTGCATGCATATCAGCCTGTTGTTGGATATTCCCAAAACCAAAATATGAGCTTTTTTAATGCCTAATAGGAGCTCTTTTAACTTATCTCTTAAATTTGATTTGCTGATTAAGATGTTTTTTTAGTATCAACATAGATTTTAATCCACTTACAGTACATGTCCTACTTGGTGAAATCACACAAACCTAGGGGATTGTGAATTGGTGCTAGGGCTTTCCTAGGGTGTTTTGAGTGGTTCCTACCCTGCTGAAAAAATAGCTTAAACCAGCCTAAGCTGGTTGACTGGTTTTAGCTGGTCAACCAGGCTGGTTTTAGAGGGGTTTTGGCCACTTCCAGGCTGGTTTCCAGCCATTTCCAGCCAGGTGGTCTCCCAGCCTGACCAGCTAAGACCAGGCTGAAAATGGCTGTAAACCAGCCTGGAAATGGGCAAAGCCCCTTTAAAACCAGCCTGTTTTTTTTTTTTTTTTTTTTTTTTCAGTAGGGTATAGTGTTGCTAATCTGTTGCTAGAATATTATCTGATATTATGTCAGGGGGGGTTTATGTTGTTACTATGGTAAGCTGGATAGTTGCTCTGCTGTTGCTAGGGTAAAATTGCTAGAATGTTCAAAGTAGAGGCTAGATGCTTTAGGGTATTGCTAGGCTTGGTCTTGATCAGGAGTGCCCAAACTCGGTCCTGAAAGGCCGATGTCCTGCAAAGCTTAGTTCCAAGCAAAATCAAACACACCTAGACTAGCTATCAAGCTCTTTACTAGGCTTTCTAGAAACATCCCCACTGCAAAAAAAAAATGCTTTTCTTACTTAGATTTTTTGTCTTGTTTCGAGTCCAAATATCTAAAAATTCTCAAATCAAGAAGAATTTTCCAGAAAAGCAAAACATATAGTTTTGTTTTGAGAAATAATATGCCAATATTAAGTGAGTTTTTCCTTAAAACAAGCAAAATAATCTGCCAATGGGATAAGCAAAATAATTTTGTTTTTCCTTTTGACATAAGATTAATTTGCTTACTCCATTGGTAGATAATTTTGCTTGTTTTAAGGAAAAACTCGTAACAAGACAAAAAATCTAAGTAAGAAAAGCATTTTTTTGCAGTGTGCAGGTGTGTTGAGGCAAGTTGGAGCTATACTCAGCAGGACACCGGCCCTCGAGGACTGAGTTTGGGCACCCCTGGTCTAGATGATTCAAGGTGGTTTCTAGGCAGTTGTAAGGGTATTATAGGTGGTTGCTAGGTAGTAGTTAGGGTAGGCCATGGTTATTTGGATGGTTGCAAGGTGTTGCTAGTCTGTTGTGTGTGTTCTGAAAGGTTACTAGGCATTTGCTAAGGTCTACTACTGCTGCCACAGGTGTGTGTCTACATAGTGTCTTGTGTCTTTTTTCCACTAGAGTTTAGTTGAGAGACATTTATAAGAGCACTGCTATAGTATTCTAGGTGGTTTCTAGGGTATTCAATGTGGTTGCTATGGTTATCTGGATAGTTGCTAGGGTGCTGCTAGCATTTTGCTGTGCCGTACCAAAGAGCTTAGCATCACCAAGAGGTGACACTCACAACATTCCATTGCAACAGCAACGCCCAACAACAGCCCCACAATGCCGCCATTTTGGAGTGAAAGCAATCAGCCATCTATTGGAGTTTATTGCTGTAATGGCTAGAAGCTGCTTTGTTTTTTGTTTATTTTTTTTTTTAAATTGCAATAAAGCTGAAATCCAACCTGAAAGATGACAATACAATACGTACTATCACTAGACTGGTGATCATCAGCACTTTTAAGAGTTTATTTCACAGACTTATTTTTTTAACTGTCACTTTTAGTTGTAATTACTTTAAATTGCTTTAATGTATTAGTTTACGCACTGGCTTAATATGAATTAATACTGAAATCTTAAATTTAATTAACATGACTTTCAAAATGGGATGTTGATAACAGACTGATAGTACACTTTTTGTTGCAGTACTATATGTTATATTATATTGTATTTTTCCAATATTGTCTGTTAAAGAAAGACTAATAACGCTTTTATGTAAAAAGCCACACCACTTTCCCCAAAATAATTGAATTCTGACACAAAAAGTCATCATATATATATATATATATATATATATATATATATATATATATATATATATATATATATATATATATATATATATATTGAATGGGGTGTATGAATATTTAATACTTTAACTCATCTTCAACTCAATATTTTAATTAATTCTTTCTAACATTAGTTATCCATGCTGTACAAAATGGCCGCCACCTAACACTAGCTCCCAAATAGCAACAGAGTGTCTCCTCTTGGTGATTCTATGCCAGGGGTGTCCAAACTGGGTCCTGGAGGGCCGGTGTCCTGCAGATTTTAGCTCCAACTTGCCTCAACACACCTGCACAGATGTTTTTAGGTCTTAATGCCTAGAGCTTGATTAGCTAACCCAGGTGTGCCTGATTGGGGTTTGAACAAAACGTTGCAGGACACCGGCCCTCCAAGAGTTTGGGCATCCCTGTTGTGTGTTCTTTGTTGGTACTGGGTGGTTGCTATGCAGTTGCTAGGGTGTTCTAAGTAGTTGCTTTCTCAAACCAACATAATAAAGATTTGTTCAGCACAATATAATACAAATGTTTTCTGTCTTTTTGCATCAACCAGGCTTTTCAACAGTGGCTCTCCTCAGCTACACAGGTCTGGAAGAATCACTCAGCCGCTATTTTAACCATTTAGAGAAACAAGAAAAGCAAACATTCAAAATCAATTCAGAAATAGTAACTGCCACTGTTAGCAATGAAGACACTGCCAACCTGGAGAAACCAGTAAATTTCACGTTTTCGCACTTGAAGGTATGACATAATTTGTAGTGTACTACATACAAATCTTACACCAGTGTGATTCATCATGAACTTATGTGTATGTTCCTCTTAGAAAGAGAATGTGAATCACATTTGTGTGTTTTGGGATCATGATTTGGATGGGGGTGCCTGGTCGACCCGTAACTGCTCCACAGTGAGGTCCACTGCTGATGAAACGATCTGCTCCTGTTCTCACCTCAGCAGCTTCGCTGTGCTTATGGCTCTCTATGACATTGGGGTTCGTATTAACCATCTGTGACCACAACTTCTGATCTTCACCTCATCACAGAAGTGATACTTCTGAGAATAAAATATTTTACCACATGTTCCTTAAACAAAAAATAATAATTAGTTAGAAAGATGAATGCATTTTATGCATTTTCAGAAACAATCATCTAAAGGCCTGCAAGTTGCAAACTATTTATGGGTTATATACCATGAGTCATTACTTGATTCAGAAAGTGATACTTACACTGAAACAAAAATAAAATTTGAAACAACTTAAATTAATTGCTTCGACTTGTTACATCTAAATAAATCAAGTTTAAAGAAAAAAATACTGAAAATAAAACTCAAGGTGCAGTATGTAATTTTCACCACTAGAGTGCATGTATTAGAACAGGGGTTTTCAAACTGGGGGCCGCGGGCCCCTAGGGGGGCCGCCAGATTGCGCTAGGGGGGCCGCAAAGAAATTTTAGATGAGGGGTAATCAATGGGCCCACATGGATGAATTTTGTGTCCCGCATCATTCTAAAGGTTAATGTATTTCTTCATTATAATTTGAGCTCAAAAGTACTGCAAAAATTAAGCTTTATGCTTATGTCATTTAAATGCAGTTGACACTTTCGTGACACAGGAAAAGAAGCGCAGCGGCCCGCCTCTGTGCACAGGGACTTTTATTGATTAAGCGCTTCTGGCCAGGCGCTTCCTGTGATTTTTGGCGCTTGTCTCCTGCACCTGACAGCGTTTACCTTTCACTTGCGCTGATCTCTTTTACGCTTATACAGCTAAATGAATGCTCAGGTCTATTTAACTGACAATATTTCAGTTAAAATACATGATCAATAAGAACATTATCGGTGGCTGAAAGCACTACCCTGTATATGGCTTGCGTTCCTAAGTAACCGATCAGCTGGGTGCTGCGGAGTGCGCGCCTCTCTGCGCAGGCTTCACTCATAGGAAACAAATAGCATTTTAAAGACACGGCACAACATTGCACCTCGTTCACAGTGTGACAGGCTTTACACTTTGCATTGTACAAATATCAGACGGTCCTATTTGCAGCACGGCAAACAAACATATTAAAATTGAAAAGCAAAAAGTGCTGCAATAACAATGAATGGAGCTGTCATCACATGAGCGAGTTCTCAGAGTTTCACTCCTGTTACACTAATGACAGCTGGATGAGCTCTGCAGTGGACCCCTTACACATATTGGTTCATAATGATTAAAATAACTAAATTTATACACCCTGAGTAAAACCACTATAACCTATAAAAATTATAATGTATCTGTTTGTGTTATATTATAGAGCTAATTAATTATTAAATATTAAAATGTATTAGTGCTCTGTATTTAATGAAGCTCAACATATCTGATCAAACTTTAATACTCTAAATGTAAATGCATTTTTTCAAGATGTTCCACTTTTTCCCATATTTATTTGTGAAACTAATTTAAATGTAATGTTCAGTATTATTATTAATAGAACAAACTGGTATGGACATTTTAAAGTCAGCAAAGCTTCTAAAATTATGCAAAGTAAAACTTGGCTCTATGAACTTGAATACCCAATTCTAGATTGCATTTAGGAAATTATTTTTTATCAGTGTAAGTCAGGATTGTCGACTTGAGTAAATTATGATGTGCACAAAAAAAGGGAATAAAAATAAACAATACTTCAACACACTGAACCACTACAGCCTCCATTGTAGTATTGCTAGTTACCACGGTACAATTAATTGTTAACCATTAACAGGCTGATGACTGACAAAACTCTTTAAAACTTCAAAGCTTTAAATCTTTAGATACATTTAGATTCTCAGCTGTAAGGGTAAATACAGAAGAGTCTAGCTGTGCATAGACAGAAAAAAAGCATAAATATGGCATAAAAAACTGTGTAAAGTGACGACTCGTACACAAAATATGTCTTGATGGAATCCAATGAGAGCAGACCACAATGAACACTGCGCATGAAGATTTGATCAATAGATTGAAGCACTGTAACCATGTCAACTCAACTGACATCTTACAAAAATTAATCCAGATAATGAATAATATAAATGTATTGAATAATATATAATAATATAAATGTATTGAATAATTCAATTAAACATTTTTTAAGTACAGTTGTTATTTTAAGGTTTTTTTTTTTTTTTGACGTCATTTTTATTTTTTGGGGGTCCCCAAAAGAATTCGCCCAACACAAAGGGGCCCTCAGCTGAAAAAGTTTGAAAACCCCTGTATTAGAAATAAACAAAGACATATTTTAATGATGCCATAACTGAGTGATTGCTATTTTCTGTTCTTATTGTCTCCTTAAACTGTAAAACGACAGCTTTTTTCAAGTTCATATTGGTAAATAAACAAAGCAGCGCAATATCAATTAAAAGCGCATATGTAAATGTTTTAAAAAATACAAATAGTTAGATATATTTCAGTTACTAATATTTCACACAGCAAACACTGCACACATAGCATGCACATTAAAGACATGCTTCTGTTATATTCGCATCCTTCATTGTTTAAAAATGGTACGAGTTTCTTAAATCTATTCATCTTAAATTGCTCTATTAACCAGGATGTGTACGAGCTGCGTCTGATCTCATGGGTGGGACTGTCTCTGTCTCTGGTCTGCCTCCTCATCTGCATTATCACATTTTACGCGGTGCGATCCATCCAGAGCACACGCAACACCATCCACATGCACCTGTGCATCAGCCTCTTCATTGCATACTTCGTATTCCTCGTGGGCATCACCCGCACTGAGAATAAGGTAAATTTGTATGACCGTTGTGTGTTCACTTGTCTGGTGCTGCTTTCTGATTCACATCATGAAGTGTGTAACAAAAGCTACTGTTTTCCAATATCTTAAATGTTATCTAACAATCATTTCAACACCTTTACCTTACCTCTCCACTTAACTGTTGGTCTCATGAATCCACTATGTTTGTATGTCCCATGAAGTGCTTTGAAATGTGCATTTTTATTTGATGTTTGACGAAAACTCAGTGAAACATGAAGAGAGGGTGGAACATATTGTAGCCCCTCCCCTTTAAAAAAAAAACAGCTAATAGCATTTTGTTTTTTTCACTGCTCTGCCAGTAGTGGTTGATCACAAGCGCATCAAGGAGATGGGTCTTAAAGTGGGCGGGACATGTTAGGTACTAGAGAGTATTTGATTGGTCATGATTTCATGAGTGAAGTATGAGGTTATGTGTATAAAACCGTTGATCTATTTAAGCAGAAGTGACAGACTACAAACTTTAAATATTTATATCAGTTTTATATATCCTAAGTTTGGATTGTGTCACTGTTTTAGTGAGCGCTAGCTTATAGATATCCTAAAAACCAACAATACTGATACAATATTGATGCTAAAAGATTATTTTGATTTCATGGGATCTTTAAAGTTGGCATGAAATCAAAATTTTACTTTTTTTATTTTCATATGTATATAGGGGTGCTTGTTATAAAACATGTATCTGAGCACTTCATTGTTTTGAATCTTTAATCAAATAGCATAGACTCCCCTTCCCGCTCTAACCAAATTAAATGACTTCTGGTTACATGGAATAACTATAGGGCAGGGCTATCAGTGCAGTTTTTTCTGCTTTTATTCTTACGCCAATCTTCCACAATTCTGTTTGCAACACCCATCTTCTAATGAACAAATTGGTTCCTAAATGACCAAATATGCTCCTATATTCTTTTTTTTTTTCTCATTTCAAGACCATTTCAACTGGAAATACAGTTGAAGTCAGAATTATTAGCCCCCCTGAATAACTAGACCGCTTGTTTATTTTTTTCCCCAATTTCTGTTTAACGGAGAGCAGATTTCTTCAACACATTTCTAATCATAATAGTTTTAATAACTCATCTCTAATAACTGATTTATTTTCTCTTTGTCATGATGACAGTAAATAATATTAGACTAGATATTTTTCAAGACACTTCTATACAGCTTAATGTGACATTTAAAGGCTTAACTAGGTTAATTAGGTTAGCTAGGCAGGTTAGGGTAATTAGGCAAGTTATTGTATAACAATGGTTTGTTCTGTAGACTATCGAGAAAAAAATATATAGCTTAAAGGGGCTAATCATTTTGTCCTTAAAATGTTTAAAACAATTAAAAACTGCTTTTATTCTAGCCGAAATAAAACAAATAAGACTTTCTCCAGAAGAAAAAATATTGTCTGACATACTGTGAAAATGTCCTTGCTCTGTTAAACATAATTTGGAAAATATTTTAAAAAGAAGAAAAAAATTAAAAGGGGGCTAATAATTCTGACTTCAACTGTACATCACAATAGGGGTAAAAGGGACAACCTTAACGTCCATCTCATGCTGACTTTTTACCATGCTTATAGTTCTAATTGAATTTACGTCCAACACCAATGCACTGTGGGAAATATTAACCATTAGATCTGCACTTTGAATTTCTTCCAGGACTTTCAGACCATCTGGATAACTAAAAAAAAAACCATTTCAGCAAACTGTGTTTGGAACATACTAATTCGAATTACTATTCCAAATACTATTTAGGATAGATAATATGCAATCAGACAATAATATCTAGATTCAAGCTTGAACATGCAAGCTAAGAGATGCAATCTCACAGGCCTGTAGCCAGGGGGGGTTCGGGTGGTTCGAAAGACTCATCCCTCACTGACAAAGGTCCAGAATTTGTCCCATACATGACCTCATTTGTCCTATTTTGGCTACTACACCATCCTTAATAGTAAAAATAACCCATCAAAAAACACTTTAACACGAATCCTCTTCGTGACTTCAGCTAATCAGTTTTGGTCAATGCAAACAATTATTTTTCATGAGTCTAACAATGAACCTTTTTCTCCAAAAATTACATATAAAAAGGTGTGAAGCAACAAAAACAAACAATATTGAAATTGATTTGAATATTATTTTGACTATTGTAGTTTTCCATGATTTATTTTTTTACAAGAGAGGCTAAACAAATGTAAAACTATTATTATTATTATTATTATTATTATTATTATTATTATTATTATTATTATTATTAATAATAATGATAATAATAATAATAATAATAATAATAATAATAATAATAATAATTTTTTTATTAGTATTAAAATGGCCAAATTCTGACTCTTGACACTTGAATGTGCTGGCCAGTTTGTTATTTGCCTAATAAATGTAAATATATTACAGTTTTAATTTAAAACTTTAACAGATTCCTATTTTTTAGATTAATATATATTGTAATTTTTATTAAAAAAATATAAATATAAAAATAAAATAAATATAGAAATATTAAATATAAAAATATATTTATTTATACTTCTTTATTCTTCATCTTTAGGAAATATTTAGGTACATTAAAAAGTATGGTTATGACGACCATCTGACAAGCTAATCCAGCTAAAAATAGTGCTTAAAATGTCACTAACATGCAATATTTTAATCTCATAATTAAATAGAAAATGAGGTGAATAACTGCAAAAAGGTCCTCATTTAGAGAAATAAGAACTACTGTCTTAAACACAATGTGCTGAATGGAGCTAGTGACCTCACTGTGAGGTGTAGGCTTAGAGACGGGGTTTTGTGCATACATTAAAAGCATTACATCTAGTCTCAGTTTGCAACTGCGCCCAGTCTGCAGCTGGACCCTTCACAAATTGGGATGCAGCTATGGTGTCACAAATCAATATATTTCAGTGAGTTTCCAAAGTTACATGGGTTGCCTACTTTTCCATGCTACTTATCCGTGCTCACTCTAACAGCCGATAATATCCACAATACACTGCCCATTGGACGTGATGTTTATTTGAAACTACAAACCTGATGACTTGTTGCTCCTGAGTCACCTTGAAGATTCGTTCAAAAAGAACAAATCACTCAAGAATGACTCTTCACCAGTCTGAAGTTTAGTAAACCTCTTTTTGTGGTGCAGGTGGGCTGTTCAGTGGTTGCAGGTGTTCTGCATTACTTCTTCCTGGCCTCTTTCTGCTGGATGTGTCTGGAAGGAGTGCAGCTCTTCCGCATGGTGGTGCTGGTTTTCAACACCACACTGAGACACGTCTACATGTTTGCTGCCGGCTATGGAGTTCCTGCTCTTATCGTTGCCATTTCGGCCTCAGTGAATGCACGCGGATATGGCACCCCGAACTAGTGAGTTTTAGACAGATGTCCTGTATTCACAATTTTCAAGCTGTTTGTGATGTAATTCGTTTTTTGTTTTTCTTTAGCTGTTGGCTCAACATTGATGATGGCTTCATCTGGAGCTTTTATGGGCCAGTTTGTATTATAATTGTTGTAAGTACCTCTTAGTTGCCATAAAAAGATTAGAAAATAGCATCTGGAATTTCAGGCCCCAACAGAAGGCCAAATTTACTGTTTTAAGTATTTGTACTTTTATTTTAGCGATCACTTTATTTGTTTTCTAACATTTTATTTATTAATTTAGGGCAAAGATGCCCAAAACAGGGGCCTGCTGGCCCAAATTGGCCTATGGTAACCTTTGATTTACCCCCCTTCATCCCATCTGAGAATGGTTTAGAGCAAGGGTGCCCAAACTTTTTTTGTATGAAGGGCCAAAAACCAAACATGATCGAGGGCTGTGGGCGGAGGGTAAATATTGCAAACTGTATTACAAAGTTGCCATGGGTAATTTTTTTAATTTAATAATAATAACATTAAATAATATTTAAAAATGAATAGAAAGCATAACTTTAATCATAGAAAAAGAAACAATGCCATTTATTATTATTTAACACAAATGTTGTAGCTGAACAATAAAACAAATTAGAAAATATATGCATCTCTGTTTTAGAGATTTAATAAAAAGAATTTTGAAGAAATGTAATGTACCCTTTTATTTGTTTGTTTTATTGTTAAGCTACAAAAAAACTATCTGAAATTAAATGTTTCAATTTAAATGGTGTAAATTAGTCAGATTTAGTTTAAAATGCACATACAATGAATAGAGGACAATCCAGAGACTTTAGAGAGTGAATCAAGGCAAAGGCAGATTCTGCTTGACTATAGCGTTGAACTCCACTGTATTATAAATATGATTGTTTTTCATTAATATTGGAATAAGTTTTCATTTAAAAAGTTATACTGCATAAGTTAATAAGATTATGTTAATATGGTAATGTTTTTTATTTAGTATTCAATGTTATGAAAAAGTCTGAATTAGGAAGGGTGACCTAGTGGCACAATGGGCAGTGCTGTTGCCTCACAGCAAGAAGGTCGCTGGTTTGAATCTCAGAGGGTCCGTTGGCGTTTCTGTGTGAAGTTTGCATGTTCTCCCTGCGTTCGCGTGGGTTTCCTCCGGGTGCTCCGGTTTTCCCCACAGTCCAAAGACATGTGCTATAGGTGAATTAAACAAACTAAATCCACTTGATTAATAAAGGAAATAAGGCAAAAAGAAAGTAAATGAATGGATTAGGAAATGACCCATGGCAACTTTAATGCAAAACAGTTTGTTATATTTATCTAAATTCTATTTGAATTCTATTCGAAGTTTAGCATAACACAAAAAAAATTGAAAACAGCACTTATAAACTGAAAGAAGAAATGAAATGAACTATTTAAACCTTTTTGGTTTCAGGTTAACGTGTTCTTCTTCCTCATAACAATATGGAAGCTGGCGGAGAAATTTTCTTCCCTCAACCCAGACTTAGACAATCTACGCAAAATTAAGTAAGAAATCCTATACTGATTCACTCTATGGCATGCTTTTTTTAAATAACATCTAAGCACATCTGCAGTTTTCGCTGGGAATCCTATTAAGGTCTCTGTCTCCTCCTGCAGGGCGTTTACAGTCACTGCCATCGCTCAGCTCTGTGTTCTAGGCATCATGTGGGTCTTCGGCTGCTTTCAGTTTGACAGCACCTCTCTGGCAATGTCCTACATCTTCACTATTCTGGGCAGCCTGCAGGGGGTGCTCATGTTTATCATGCACTGCTGGCTCTCCAAACAAGTGAGTCCTCAGACGAAATTTTAATGTAGAATGACAAATCAACATTTAAAGACTGGGGCTGGTAGTACCGTGTTCTAAATTGCTTTGGCTCATTTCTCAAACGAGACTCTTTTTAATAGCCTTTTAAAACAATAGGTTTTTTTTGCAACAATATGCAAAATGCAATCAACCAGTCCACTAATCAAAACTGTGTGTGTGTGTGTGTGTGTGTGTGTGTGTGCGTGCGTGCGTGCGTGCGTGCGTGTGTGCATGCATGCGTGTGTGTGTGTGTCTGCAGTTAGATATTATTGGAGCTAGTTTTTATTTATTTATTTATTTATTTATACCATTTTGGGGTGTTTTTCTGTTCAGTATGTGATTGACTGTAATGTATACATGATTTAAAATCACTACATAGTACGTAATACCATTTACAAATTAATACCATTTATTAAAATTCAAAAATAAAATTACTTTATGTGCTAACTTCTCACTGTAAACCTTTGCCTATTTTAAGCTGTGGCATTTTTGGGAGCAAAGTGAGCAGTCGTTGTCATAAGCTTTTTATGGGTGCTGGAAATCCTAAAATGCTTTCTTTTTGATCTAGTGTTTTCAGTGTTTGAAAAGTGCTTTGACTTTGGAGAAAGTGCTTGAATACTGCTTAAAAACACTGTCAAACTATATATATATATATATATATATATATATATATATATATATATATATATATATATATATATAGAGAGAGAGAGAGAGAGAGAGAGAGAGAGAGAGAGAGAGAGAGAGAGAGAGAGAGAGAGAGAGAGAGAAAGAGAGAGAGAGAGAGAGAGAGAGAGAGAGAATTATTAGCCCTCCTGAATTATTAGGCCCCCTGTTTATTCTTTCCCCAATTTCTGTTTAACGGACAGAAGACTTTTTCAATATATTTCTAAACATAATAGTTTTAATAACTCATTTCTAGTAACTGATTTATTTTCTCTTTGCCATGATGACAGTAAATAATATTTGATGTTTCTCAAGACATTTCTATACAGCTTAAAATGACATTTAAAGGCTTAATTAGGTTAACTAGGCAGGTTAGGGTAATTAGACAAGTTATTGTATAACAATGGTTTGTTCTGTAGACTATCGAAAAAAATAGCTTAAAGGAGCTAATAATTTTGTCCTTAAAATTGTGTTGAATGTGTTAAAATTGTGTTAAATGACTGTACTTTCTATGGCTGTGTGTCATGATGGGAAATCATTGAAATACTCTCATAAAAATGTGGCTTACACCATGACATAAATATTTCTGACACAATAACTAACTTTAAAAAAAGGAATTAAATGTTTAGGGTGTTATATACTACATTAAGCAGGCATGAAACTTGAACATGAAACTAAACTTGATTGTTCAGATAAAATTAAGCCCCTCTTTTTTTCAGTTATTTTATTTATTTATTTAAATTTTTTTTTTTGCAAAGTTATTGAGAAAAACTGTAGTAAATACTAAATAGCAATTTTAAAATAACGTTTATTGATAATTAAATAATTAGTACTATAACAGTTGAATTCATGTTGGCTATAAAGTCCCCATTGATGATTTATGCTATCTCTAGATTTTTAATTTTTTTTATTTTTGGATATTTTTACTGTCAAATTTTATCCAAAGTACTACTACAACAACTACTGATAATAATAACAACAACAAAATAAAACATCAATTAATAAAGTGACAAAAATTACCTAAAACTTTAAGATGTTGTCCAACACAAACATTGTTTTATGTTATTAATTAATCTACTAATTTAATAATGTGGTTTCTTAGGACAATATTTGGCAGAGAAACAATTTGAAAATCTATAAATCACCTTTAAAGCTGTCTGAATTAAGTGTTTAGTTTTGATATATTTACAGTGGAACATTTTACAAAAAGTCTTCATGAACATGAACTTCACTTAATTGTGTTATTGCCAGAAAAAAAATAATAATAATTTCGACATATCATGTGTTTTTGTTTATTGCCAAAAATTCATCTGTACAACATAAGATTTTTGGTTTTGTGGGCCAGAATCATATATATCATATCAAATTATATCAAAAGTAGCATATACATGACTCAAAAAAGTTTAATTAAAATCTCTCATGAGCACATTAGTTTTGATGATTAATTGAGGATCGTCAAAATACACTGGCATATAAAGTCAGGCAGATTGAGCCTGCAGCGATGTGTTGTCGTCTCTGATGAATGTGTTGGCAATTTCTTTACAGGTGAGAGACGAATATGCCAAATTCCTGTCATGTATTTGTGCACCACAGAAGAGGAAATATTCAGAGTTCAGCTCCAATCAGACAAGCAAATCACAGGTAAACTCATTCTCAGAAAACCTTTAAACTCACGCTGTTTATATGATGCACATTTTCTATAATCTCACATTTTGGTGTTGGTCATGACACATTTGGGACCCTATCATACACTTGGTGTAATGCGGTGCCAGACATGACGCAAGTGTCTTTTGCTAGTTTCAGCATGGCACAGAAATCATATTCACATTCTGTGCCACGTTGTATAAATAGCAAATGCATTTTCGCCTATTTATGGGCGTGCTGGAGCAGTGTTAATATGCATTATTGATGCATTTTTCCTTTAAGCAACTGAAATAGATGCAGTTTTGTTTTTTTCTTGCTTTTTCTTGCGGTTCCAAAATGCACATTGCTTGTCACACACACAGGGATGTGCAGCAGCAACAGAATATCTTTAAATATAAAAATGTAAAGGATTTATATGTAAAAATATGATCTACAGTACAAAAATATAAAAAACCTTACCTCCTCCTATGCCTTCTTCACATAAGGATTCTTCAGTGGAATTCATCTTGTCTGGCACACTTTAACCTCATGCATGAGCAGATCATGAAGCATTCAGTTTTTTGCATGCAAATAGTATCTGTCATGTAAATAGTAAATGCCCCATAGCATTATCACAACTTGTTCTTAAAGGGAATGAGAGATGAAACTCAAATTATTTTTATACACACACCCGTAACCCATTAATTAATTCATCCATGCGAATGTTTTATCCATAGAAAAGCACAAAATAGCACAGGTGAATTCAGACAAGTCCAAACTGCACCTGAGCAGTGCGCTTTAGACCTTGTGCTAAGATCATTAAATCTTGTTAGCTAAGGCGAAGTTTTATGCTGTAAAAACTTTTCAGTAAAAGTTTTCTGTAAAAAGTCTTCAGAGGCTATATCGATGTCCAGGCACGTGCACACATAGGGCTCAACCTATGCAGTGCACATGCCCTTTTTAGTTTTGGATAGAAAGTGTCCTTCTGAAATTAACAAAAGTGCCCCCGTGACAACCCCCGCTCTTCAGTACGTGCGCAACAACTCTGCCCACCCTTCAAAAATTTCATCCTGCACATGCCCCTTGAACAGTCTCTGCACGGGCCTGTCGATGTCCTTTATTCCCTCACTGTCAGAGGCATTTTCTCTAAAATGACCATCCAAAAAATAGAGTCATTAGTCAACATTTCAAAATAGAGTCATTTGTCAACAAGCCAACTCAAAAACAAAGAAAACAGAACATTCTTGTTATTAAATTAAACATAATCCCATTATTGACACACAGTAGAGGCTAAATGATTAGCCCGATGATTAAATTGTTATTATTTTTCAAATATTTTACAAGTGATGTTTAACAGGACCTTTTTCGCAATATTTCCTATGGACCCCAGACAAGTTTGTTATGATGTGTTTACGGTCACCAGCATCTTAAATCCTTGAAAGTTTTTAATATTGAGATTTTTTTTAAACGCATGCACATTTAGGCTGCATTTGCACTGCAGATCTTGATGGTCAATTCTGATTTTGTGACTGTATCAGATTCATTTGCTGACCAGCTTACATCATCTTTTAAAAGTGACTCGTATCTGATTGTCTACATTTACACAGCACACGGCAAAGACGCAAGGACCAGGAAAAAAAGAGTGGGCTATTAGCTGACTAACATCTAATAATAAAAGAGCGCCCTCTGTTCCTGTATTTAATGTGTTTGCAGCACAGGAATTAATTTTTTCAAATTCTTTTTGACAAGTTCTTTTACTATAGTTTATGACAGAAAAGTTCTCATTTTACCATCTACTTTTAATCTAGGCCGTCATGTCCATGGCGAGATTTATGCATGTGATGTATGCAACAGTTTTATATTAGTTTGTATTAGTTACGTGCTGGATATTGAGCTCTCTTTCTTTCTCTCTCTTTCTCTCTCTCTCTCTCTCTCTCTCTCTCTCTCTCTCTCGTTAATATGCTTAAGAACTTGTGCGATGTGTCAATATTTAAGCTTTTTCATAAAAGCATATATGAGATTTAAAGTTTGCAACTCTGTTGAAGTCTATTCTGAAATGAAAGCGTGAACCAGTGACCTTCTTGCTGTGAGGCGATTGTGCTAACCACTGTGCCACCGTGCTGCCCCTAGATCTGATTCATATTATATAAGTATCAACATGCTGTATGAATAAGGCCTGAATCTTATTTGATTAAATTGGAAGTCATGTAATTTTTTTCCTGCTTACACGGACATGGGCCTTATCTGATCTGTGCCACATGGAAGAAAAAATTGGAATTGAGTCACTTGAGAACCATCCAGTGTAAATGCAGCCCTGTATGTATTTATGAAAAGTGAAAGTACCCACCCCCATTATGTCAGTAGCGGACTTTGTTGAAACTATTGTTGAGACCCATACAAGCAGTCAGGCAGCGTAATACAAAGAGTGGACCAAAGCGCATCAAATGATTGGTAATTTAAAGGGGAAAAAAAATAGAATAAACATTTATATTTTTATATTAGACACACAACTGGTGCTTGTATTTGCAGCAGCTCCACATCCACAACTTCATGCATTGGGTTAAATTAGGCTATTCAGTCTCCCAGTTCAGTCCATTACTTCCACTCTATCTGTTGAGCTGAGGAAATGTAACCAACCCTGTGACGTCAGACTCAGCGATATTCCAAGATGACAGTGCCCTATATAGATCAAAACTCTATAGTAAAACATGTCATTTTCCGCTAAATGGTTTTATTAATCTATTCTATTAAAGAGGAAATTATTTTACAAAATAATGCAAACTTGACTGAGTGCTTCATTTCCCCTTTAAGTTACTTGTACTCACTTAAGCTGAATTCTAGTGTTTTGCACAATAACTGATGATTATGAGTGTAGTTATGGTTATAAATGATGGCTGATGCTTGCTTCGCAATAACATGCCACTGGAGAGTAAGCTGGAGAAAGCACCCTGTGATATGTAAATGGCCCCTCAATTTTGCTTAATTTTAATGCTGCCGTTCTCACTTATTTGTTTATTTGAGATGGATGGTATTCGCTGTGAGAGTGAGCAATGGGGGTGGGCCCTTAGGGAGTCTGCAGGTTCTTTTGCTGTCTTTTTAAACTTGTCACTGCCTAATTCAAAGTTGGTCTGCCCTCAGGGATCCTTTCTGGCCTGGGGCCCTAAGCATTTGCCTGCCTTGCCTATTGACAAGTGGCACCTCTGGCCGCGCTTGCGCACTGTTGACTTAGTAGATCTGTATGTCTCTTGCTTCTAGGTGCTAGGTGCTTCTAGGTAACTTTGTTTTAAAAGTATTAAAATCTAAAGCAAGAAGGTCACTGGTTTAAGCCCTGGGTTGCTGTCTGGAGTTTGCATGTTCTCCCCGTGTTCATTTGGGTTTCCTCCGGGTGCTCCGGTTTCCCCCACAGTCCAAAGACATGTGGTACAGGTGAATTGGATGAGCTAAATTGTCCATAGTGTATAGTGTATGTGTATGACTGAGAAAGTGTGGGCGTTTCCCAGTGATGGGTTGTGACTGGGAGGGCATCCGTTTTATAAAACATGTGATGGATAAGCTGGCGGTTCATTCTGCTGTGGAGACCTCAGATTAATAAAGCGACTAAGCCGATAAGAAAATAAATGAATAAATGAATAAAAACTAAAGAGTTTTCAGAGAAAATATTGATGCAGTATTTTTAGTTATTCGAGATTAGTATGTTTTCAGATGACATCATTGGTGACGTGCAAAATTCAGATGAAGGGCAGGAAGTGGTTCTTCTACCGCTATCAGAACATAAAAATGTCCTGTATGTTGTTTTTTTAATTGTTTAAAATGGCCAAAATTTGAAATGCCGAACAGCTTTCAATAGACTTCCTTATTACTTTTGCTTATAAAGGGGGAAAGTTCAGGAAACTGGCTGAAAAATAGTAGAAAAGGCGGTGTATAATAAACATTTATTCAATACATTCTTGTGTACAAGCTTTTTTAAATGCAAAAACTTGTTTGATAGCACCAATAAAAATTATATACAGGTCTAGCTTTGTGTATTATATAATAATGTGTAATAAACTATGGTAATTTGTAATAAACATGTTTTTGAAGCACATAGTAAAAGTGTATAATGTGTATAACTCTTTGTTAATGAATGCTACCCAATACTGTAGCATAGTAAGCTGATGAACTGTAAGAAATACTTTTATGTTAGTGTAAACCAGGGCTATTCAATAAGTTTGTCATGGGGGCCGGTTCATGAAAAGCATACCAAACGAAGGGCCGAAGAGATATGACTTGCTATATGAGTGATGACAAAACTGCATATAAGAGCCCATATGCTGTATTTTTGCTCCTTAAGACACCCACATTGTTTTTTTTCTACATTAAAATGTTAATATATTGCATTTTGAAACTACATAAAATCACTGCATTGTACAATTTATTTATTTTTTTTACAAATATTCAAATGTATTTCAGAGCACAATAAAGACTGTATAAAATATAAATAAATTGATAAAGTAGGCTTGTTCTACATTCAGACACATTCATATGCTATGTTATGAACTGCATAACAATTAATAGATGCAACAATGATAGATTTTAGTTGTACGATTATATAGTCTGAAAAATAATCATGATTTCACGGTTATCTCCTCTTATGTAAATTCAAGCTTTATATTAGGTAAGTTGTTTAGAATAACTGTTGTTGCCTTTTGCATCCATACATACAGTACATAATGATTTTTATAATAATTCGTCTAACGTATCTTTTGTTTACATAGCACTGAAAGGCCCGTACAACTCTCACTGTGAGATGTTTTCTACTGCATGCGCCCGGAAAGCCGCAAGCACGTCGCTACACTTGTGCACGCATATTGTCCTATATTCTGAAATCAGAAATAACAAACTTGCAAGCGGAAAAGACGTGATATGGGAACAGCCGCTGCTGTAGTTAATCCGTGTGTGCATATTAGCCTCAGTGTGCTTGGTGAACTTTAAAGTAGGGCACAGTTGGCAACTTGGCGTAACTTTGTTAAACTGCAGCAGTTTTGTTTCGTTCCGTGCGGCTTAGAGAAGCCTTTACGATTTATTAACTGTGACATAATAAAGCGTAGTTAATAGTGAAATCGGCTAATTGTTGCATCCCTATTAAAGATATCAGTGCACCGTACAAAAGTCCTTTTCTACAAACACATCCAAATGTTTTTCGGCTGCCCATGCCACTTGCTTATAGTGACTCACGCTCTGTGCTGCCTTCAACTGCAGCTCGTGCTATATTGAACGGACGCGATGCACTTCATAACTATAGCGGCCGTTTTTCGACTGAACTAAATTTATTTTCGATGTGTTGGTCAAATTGTTTGGAGGGCCGGAACAAACTGCCTCATGGGGCGGGTTCGGCCTAAGGGCGGCCAATTGAATAGCCCTGGTCTAAACTGTGGTGCATAGGGATTATAGCGTAGAAAACTGAAGCCTATTGAATAATTTGTGTATTGCTAGTTTGTGAGTTGTGTCGTACCACAGCAACAATATAATTACTACAACAGTTTATTTCAACTAATTATCAATAGTATGCTTCCAAACACTATAGTATTTACGGTAGTATTTTTTATGTAACATAATTGTACCGTTTGTACCGCATCGATGACAGTTATTATGTTAGTTATTATGTTAGTTCAGTAGAAAACTCAGCCTTTTTTATGATATAAGTATCATGCTGATGCTATGTTGGATATCTGGTTATTTTCTATTTATATCTCCTTTGAAATATGGTATAAATCACAAAAATATGCTCTATGTCTCCCATTTAGTTATTTTTACTTCTGCCCTCCATCTGTCTTTCGCACAACATCAGAACCACGTGATTGAAACCAACCTATTGCACTTAAAAATAAACAAATATCACCAACTACATGTGATGTCTGAATAATTATTCATTTCAATGTACACTGCTGAAATCAATGCAGGTTTTACATACACCACATCAATGCTAAAATGCAGACATTTGAGGTCATTGAATTTGTATATTTGCTCTGATGTGATCATCTGTCAGGGAAGAGTTGAAGTTTCACACTAATAACATAGACGTCAAAAACCCCATAATAGCTGTTCGCTCAGATAGAAACCATTCACGTTGCTGTCTGAATGTTTAAAAAGGGAGGTGATGCCCCTTAGAGAATTGTCGTCCTACGGAGATATGTGTTTTCCTGTAATAACTGGATGTGACTGTGAATATAAATAAGCTGAAGCGAGATTGATCGTCTGACTGACAGAAAAACTGTGTTTTTTTACAGGCCTCAAAGAGTGTTCAACACACTGGAGAATCCCAGATTTGACAGACAATATCAACATTCTGTTACTGCTATCGTCTGCCTGCTTTCTGTGGGTATAAGAAAATGTTTTTTGTCTTTTATTTCAGAGGAGTTTTCTTTACTTGAGGGTCAACTTAAGGAAAAGAAAGAAATGACAGTTAAGAAATCTTTTTTATGGACATAGTAGTGTCGCTTTAATTATTTCTTTGTGCTTTTTAAAATCTCCTTTATAATACATTTATAAATACGACACATATTGTTTCAAAGCTTATAGTTCTTAAGACTTTTTCTTTTTATTAATAATTAAATTATTTGAATCAATGTGGGACCATGTCCGAGCACTCACTCTAGCTCACCCCAAGCTCTGTGTTGGTTTGAATTTTTACTATTGTGAAAATAATTGATTTAAAACTATTTTAATTTGAATGTATTTAACATTTTATTTATTGATGTTGCAAAATCTGAATCTGAAAAGTTTTCACACAATCTTTAAAAATCATCTTAAAGGTGCAGTAGGTGATCTGCCTGAATGCTAACATGTTAGCATAATATCTTTTAAGCACAATCCCTCCCCTGCTTCCCAAAGCCACGCCTCCTGATATCATGAATGGGCACAGCTGAAAGATGACAGAGACCCACTAGACTAGACCATGTCATTTGCCAGTTAGAAAACTTTAAAGTACTTCATAATACCACAATTCCCAACAAAAAAAAAAAAAAAAAAACACATATATATCTAGCACGTTTCTAGTTGTGTAGTTAGCAAGCAAAACTTGTCGTGATGTGTAGTGTTTTATAAAGCAATGACTGTATGCTTAGAAGTTGGCCGGAGGCGTGCAGGAATATACGTACTAAGCCATAGCGACATGCTGTTTCAGACCGAATATTCAAAGTAGCATGGTAAACAATATAGGGAGTGTGTCACAGGCTGTCATTGTTCAAAAATGACCCAATGTGAATATAGACCATTTTGAGGAACGTAAACAATAACAATGGTCCTAATGTATTTCCTGTTTTACATTATTATTTTCCATAGCTTGGGAAGGTCCACATAATGATAAATAATGTTATGATAGCTGTTTTAATGTTAAGTCATGATTGAATTGCCTCTTGTTGTTCTGAAATAGTTTGACATCAAGCTGGAAAGGTTCATGGGTCAGTGACTTTGCCTCATTGAAATGGTCTATAAAAACAACTTCAACTCAGTAAAGCAGGCTAGGCAGAAAAATGATATTTACTTCTGTTTAGTTGTTAAACTAAGTGAAACCTACATTATCGATGCTGTAAAAGGTCTCTTATGAAACTGAAAGTAGTCACATCAATCTTTCAATGGAAGATTTCAGTGGCTGAACGACACAAAAAAAATGTTTCCAAAGACAATCACCTACTGCACCTTTAATATTCTGATTTGCTGCTCAAGAAACATTGCATATTATTATATCAGTACTGAAAATGTTAACTAATAATAATTAATAAAAAAAATAATATATAGGTTTCTTCATGAATTTCTGGATAAACACCAGGTTCAATAGTGTGTTTTTTTCTAATGGCAGCAGTTAAATCCATCCTTGCTGAATAAATACAATATTTTTTTCTCAATTTTTCATTTAATTTATTTTTTCACTCTTTATCATTTTTATTGTTTATATTATTTATGTGGTGACCAAGCAAGCATAAAATTGTATTTCTTCTCATACCTGAGCAGATTAATTTATGAATGAATGTAAAATTGCTTTTGTTTACTTCATCACAAGGCATTATTCTGCATAAAAAGGCTCATGTTTGCCGTGAAGATTTAATGTTGAGTGTAAGATTTTGCACCTTTACCCTTATTTTACTGCACTTTGCTTTATCTGCCTGCCACTATTTAATGCTGATTATATTTTATATTTTGTTAATTGTTGTTGTTGTTTTCATTATTAAAAGGTTATTCGTAAAATCCCCTCCTGTCTCAGATATCTGCTTTTTTAAATGTGACGCTAATTAGCACTGGATCCTGTTTTGATATGCTTCATTTGTGAGTTTGTGCATGCAGGTATATTTTGGTTTCAGCTAAATTAACCGAAACAAGAAATCGAAGATTGGAAAATGAGTTAGGACATGGGCTGCATAATATGGCTTTTGTGCTGTAGGCTACAAAAAGTAATTATTTAAGCTCAAGTATATGAACTTTTCTAGACTCACAAAAATGTAGTGATGTAGCTAAATGAAGTATGTAATGAAGTAGCTAATAAATAAATAAATACAATGGAGATCAAAATTAGAAAACAATTTAAAGACACTAGATTTTTTTTCTGAAATAATGATCAAAATCTTCGTTGTTCTAAAGTTTAGATATGTGAAAAAAAACTATTTTATTAGTTAATTTACTAAACGCATTGGTTGAGCATTGGTTTATCCTATGACTTTCTCATCATCCACATGGTAAATCCTGGTCCAGGATTACGATGGCATAATCCTGGACCAGGCCGTATCCTGTGGTGGACATGGAGAAGTGGAGAGAATGAGACTGATTCCTGAAAGACCCAGTGACAGACAAGTCTTCGCATTGACCTTTTGGGCAGCCTGAACACCCGCCGTTGACCTGCAGCTTCTTAACGATGGACGTCCACCGTTCTCCAGCCTCTGACACCTAGACTGCACAGAAGTTTGGCCAGAGGAGAAATGGTCATGCATAGTTGAGCCTGGTTTCTCTCGAGGTTTTCTTCCTTCACTTTCGTCAGTTGGTGAAGTTTGTACCTCACCACTGTCACCACTGGCTTGCTTGATTTGGGATTTGTGGAGCTGCCCATCAATAGATTTGCTTTTCAGTGTTGGACTTTCAGCTGTGAAAATTAAACCACACTGAACTGAACTAAACTGAACTTCAACCCTGAAAACTGGACTGACACAGTTTTGATTTACTATAATCTTCTATGTTAAGCTGCTTTGACACAATCTACATTGTAAAAGTGCTATAGAAATAAAGATGAAATGAATTTAACTGAATTATGGTTGTGCTTTTGTCTGTAACATAGCTATGATGTGGAGATGTTAGTTGAAAACACTGGTGTATAATACTACAAATTAATGAAATACAGTAGTTTACTGTAAAATGTTTGTTTACAGGTCTACCGTATTTTTATTAATAATGTTCTAAAATTGTTTGATTGTAAAATGGGGACAGCAGCAGTCAGGGACAACACACCAAGAGAACCAGGGATGTCTGCTTCCCCTAGGATTTAGCTAAAAAGCTAATCTAGCTGATATTGACAAATGGAGGGTGTTAGTATGCATTACTGTTTACTCTATGAATATTAATATAGCTCTTTACACACACAATGCTGAATACACCTTGCCAAAAATGTAACCTCTGTGCTACTATTTACACTGAAATGCAAATAACATTCATGGATTTTATACCAATAATATTTTGAAGGTAAAAAATTTAGGTCTAATCCCTTTCTTACCCTTAGCCCTTCCCCTTAACTTGTCCCAATTATCTTCATCTTGAAGGTGTAGAGATAAGGGGAAGGGCTAGATAGCCCTTGAAACAAAGATTTTTCAGGACCACACTTAAAACCGAGGGGTATGAAAATTTTCTGAATACACTAGCTACAACAGCAGCATGGCTGCACATGGAAGTAAGGAAATGCACATATTAGTTTTTTTTTTTTTTTTTTTTTTAATTTTACACATTTTTACGACAAACAAGCACATGTTTTAATACGCTCATAATGGTGTTGGTGTTTTATCGTCATGGTTAAAAACAAAAACCATAACAAAACCCCAAAATTTTGCTATCTATAATCCACAATAACTTTTCACAGTATGTCTGATAATATTTTTTCTTCTGGAGAAAGTATTATTTGTTTTATTTTTTGCTAAAATAAAAGTAGTTTTTAATTTAAAAAAAAAAAACATTTTAAGGTCAAAATTATAAGCCATTTTATGCTTTTATTTCGATAGTCTACAGAACAAACTACTGTTATACAATAACTTGCTTAATTACCCAAACCTGCCTAGTTAACCTAATTAACCTAGTTGAGGCTTTAAATGTCACTTTAAGCTGTATAGAAGTGTCTTGAAAAAGATCTAGTCAAATATAATTTACTGTCATCATGGCAAAGATAAAATAAATCAGTTATTGGGATGAGTTATTTAAACTATTATAGGGAATTAGGGGAAAAATAAACACGGGTGAAGAAATAATTCAGAGGGTTTAATAATTCTGACTTCAATTGTACATTTTTGAGCACTGTAAAAAAAATGGCTGTAAAATTGAGAGAATTACTGGCAGTTTACAGCATTGCCGGCTCTGAAAGAACTGTACTGCACTGTAAATTAACAGTTACGATTGAGCCTGTACTTTAAAGCACAAACGTGATTAATAAATTATAGAGTGCTTTTTTTTATAGTGTGTTTTATAACTGGCGAAATTTACAAGCGCACTCAGACAATTACAACTACTGTTGTTTTACAACACTATAACTGTTCATTTACAGTGCACTTGTAAGTATTACAGTATTACTGGCAAATTTTACTGCAATTTTTAGTGTGCTTTTTTTAATGAATAGAGTATTTCAAAATATTAAAATCAATATATTTAATGTCACGTTAATCAACTTAATGTGTCCTTTATGAATGAATGTATCAGTTTCTTTTGTTCTATAAAAATAATAACATTGAAAATACCACATTCGAAATATATTGGAATGGTTAGGACAACGAGTCAAATAAGTAGCTTCTCTGTATTAATACAAGTTAAATTTGCAAATTGTCGAATGTTTGAAATCTTTGCGCCCCGGTCACATTGACTTTTTATCTGTGGCTCAAAGAACTCATGTAATTTCTCCGAAACGTATCCAGTCGTTCAAGAATAGGTTCTCCTCTGCTGTGTCTGGAATGAAACATGACATGGATTCAGATGAGCTTCAGAGGCCATTAACACTTCAGCAGCCAAGCATCATAAAGCAGAACGTGACACTATTATGATTCACAAAGAGACACTGAGTTCAGCTAAATAAATAAGTCAAGTCAATTGGGCACTGTGGATGTGTAATGACTCTGCTAACAAAAGAGAAAACAGAGGAACAGAGACAGATGAACAGGTGAAGTCGTATGCTAATTATATTTGTTCTTCCATTCTGAACTTAATAATTGCCTTAAGGACTTTATGTCCATATCAGAGGAGAAGAGCTCACTCAGACAAAAGATCCCTGGTCAAAGAGCCCTGATCCTGTTCATTCTGTTTCCTACTAATAGTTTATATGTAGAAATGAGCACAAAAGCTTGATTAACACTATTTAAGTTGACTAAAGAGAAAAATAGTAACATGAAAATGTCAAAATGTTTTGTATAATCAGTGTAATTGTTTTTCCATTTACATTTCCTATTATATTAATTAATATATTTTATGATGGTTATTTATTTAAGTTTTATTCATTGTTTATATATATATATATATATATATATATAAACACCCCCCCCCCCTAATTTTTCCCCAATTTCTGTTTAACGGAGACCAGATTTTTCCTACACGTTTCCAAACATAATAGTTTAATAACTCATTTCTAATAACTGCTTTATTTTATCTTTGCCTTGATGACAGTAAATAATATTTTACTTGATATTTTCAAGACACTTCTATACAGCTTAAAGTGACATTTAAAGGCTTAACTAGGTTAATTAGGTTAACTAGGCAGGTTAGGATAGTTTGGCAAGTTATTTTGCAATGATGGTTTGTTCTGTAGACTAATGAAAAAAATATTTGGCTTAAAGGGGCGAATGATTTTGACCCTAAAATGGTTTTCAAAAAATTTAAAACTGCTTTTATTCTAGATGAAATAAGGCAAATAGCACTTTCTTCAGAAGAAAATATATTGTCGGACATACTGGGAAGATTTTCTTGTTCTGTTGAACATCATTTGTGAAATATTTCAAAAAGAATATATATCACATGTATGAAA